AACTCAAATGTAAAACAACTAAATGATAGAAATTAGTTCTAAATGATAGAAATTAGGCACGAAGAACAGAAGGAAAAATAAACTGCCCATCAGATTGTAATTCAGTAAAGTTCTCCAGTCTGTACACACACACACACACACATACACACACCCAAAATTATAGAAAGAAAAGTTAAGGAAATCTCCCCTAAAGTAGAACACCTATATAATAGAAGGCTCATTAGGACCAAGATAAGGAAGAAAGTCATCAAAGACAACACAAAAAGCCTTTCTCAGAACTGCAGGGCACCAATTTCCAGAATGAAAAGGCTGCTCACCAGGATGGAAGGTAAAAGACCTACACCATCATCATGTAATTTCAGAACAATAAGGGTAAAGAAAAAGAGATCTAAACTTTTCAGAGAAAAAAAGTGACAGGTAACCCACAAAGGACAGGGAATAAGAATGGATTCTTCAGAGACATACTAGAAGGCAGAAGAAAATGGAAGCAATGTCTTCCAAAGCCTTAGAAAAAAAATTTTTTTTCAACCAAGATTCTATACCCAACTCCACACATCCTTCTTTGAAAAGCAGCTGGAAAATCCTGCCCACCGACATGAAGCTGTGACCCAAGTGAAAGGAAGACATGGAATTCAGGGAAGAGATCAAATATGGAGTGGAGATGGGAGCTGCTGATCCAGGTGAGGGCTGCCATGAGCCCATGTTACAGCAGCAGAACGCTGGAGGCTTCTAAAAGAAACTTGTCTTGGAAAATGGTAGTAGAGGGTATGGAGATGTAAACTAACTTTACTGCAATAAACCATTCTGCAATATTTATGTGTACCAAATCATCACATTGTGCATAACTAACTACATTATTGACATATATGTATGTCAATAATACCTCAATAAAGTTGGGAGGAAAATTGACTTTTGGGAAAAGTATAATGAAAGGTACAGAAAAGAACTGTTCAAGTCAGATACGCAAGGAAAACATTTTAAAAGAAAGAGAAAACTATCAAGTCCATTAAGAAAAGCTGTACTAGGAAAATGTAATCATAGAATATGATTAGAGCATATTTGTGCAATAACATCCTGTTGTTGCTGTTGTTTGGTTGCTAAGTTGTATCCTGACTCTTTGTGACCCCATGCTCTATAGCTCTGTCCATGGGATTCTCCAGGCAAGAATACTGGAGTGGGTTGCTGTTCCCTTTTCCAGGAGATCTTCCCAACCCAGGGATCGAACCCACATCTCCTGTACTGGCAGGTGGATTCTTTACCACTGAGCCACCTGGGAAGCCCAGTAACACCTACTATGCATTTAACAAAAAGTTGATATATATTAGGATGGAGGGAAGACATGGAAGGATGTGAATTAAAATCCACATCTTCTGAAAAAGTCAAAAGAAGGTTCTAAAATGATAGAGAGTAACATACTTGGATACAGGAACGGAAGCCTACACAGGTATGGCTACGTGGTTGCCTGGCACAGTGGGAATCATCTGAGGGTCCATGGTACAAGAGCCTGGTTTCCTTTCAGGCCTTCTACTACAATTTGATTTTCAGAGTGTGCTTCTCAGCATCAACTAGGAATTTGTTAAACACAGGATCCCAGGACCCAGACCTACAACGTTAAGTACACATTTTCACGGCATCTCCTGGAGATGCCTGTGCCCAGTACAACTCAAGAAGCACCGTCCAGCAGTCACAGTGCAGGTGTGTGGGGATGTAGTAAAGATCAGTGAAGCAAGTGGATGCAGTGGGCACAGGGGGTCACCAGGGGCTGAGGTGTGACCTCAGTCAGCCATCCCAGGTCCTTCAACCTTTCACTTGTCTAGACCGTCCTAACCTGCCTGCACAGTACAGACTTCACGTCTCTACAGATTTTGGCTTCATTTTGGTTTTGGTACATACTTTACGCATTTTGGCGCCTACTTTATTTTTGTACCTAATTTTGTGATTTTTATACCACATAATCTGTCTTTGCAGATGTCATTGTTCTTACGTTGTTCCTGTCTGTATATTTTATTACCAAGATCATGTAACTCTTGATACAGTCTAAACAATTAGATTCTATCACTTCTTTTTAGGCCATGCTGTGTGGCATGTGGATCTTTGTTCCCTGACCAGGGGTCAAACCTGTGCCCCATGCAGTGGAAACACGGGGTCTTATCCATTGGACTGCCCAGGAAATTCCAGAAACTGGATTCTGTCGATTCTTCATTATATGCCAGAAGAGATCAGAGGGGTACAATAAATAGAAGTCTGCTCTCTAGGAAAGAGAAGGAAAATAAACTACAGGCATAAGAGCTTTGCTGGGATGCATGCCAAGTTGCTTCAGTCGTGTCCGACTCTTTGTGACCCTATGGACTGTCATCAGGCTCCTCTGTCCATGGGATTCTCTAGGCAAGAATACTGGAGTGGGTTGCCATGCCCTACTCCAGGGGATGTCCTGACCCATGTCTCTGTCTCCTGCATTGGCTGGCAGGTTCTTTACTACTAGCGCCACCTGAGATAAGAGAGTGGTCCCCTGATACTTCCACTGAAATCTGAGGTGTCAGATTAAGAGGTGTCAGTTACAAAGAGTAATCTTTTGATTCCCAGTCCTGCTTACCTATGTCTTTATTATACTTTTATATCTTACATTCTGTAGTATTTCCAAGTATTGCAAGAAAAGCCATTGTCGCTTCAAGTGTAAAAAGGGGACTGGAAAAAATCTAGATAAATCATAGCTGGTCTTTGAACTACATTATGAAAACAATTTAAAATAATTCTTTGTAATATTAGTTTTTTTAAAAACTGAGGAAGAAAATCCAAACTCAGATACTATGATTTTAAAGAAATAAAAGTCAAGTATAGTTGTGAAATGAATTAGACATTTTGGTGTTATGATTTGTGAATACGAAGTTTTGGTTCAAATGCCAAATTAATTTCCCAAGATCAGATAAGAAGTTAATTACAAATCTGTCAAAGGCTGTCTTAAGACAGTCATAAGAAAGGCTTAATTATGAAGTTTCAAAAAGAAAAACCCCCATGATTAAAGATTTTATCTCCTTTATTAAAATGAGGATTAGTTGATGCAAATTGGCTCTGCTTTGAAGTGACCCTAGCAAACAAACTACTGGAGTTACTGGAGAACTGACAAGATGCTACATTTTTAGAATCACTAAAGAGGAATTAATAAGTCTCCACTTATTAATTAAAAACAAGAAATTCCTTATTCTGTGGTGTTCTCCCAAACACCATTCATTGGCAAAAAAGAAACTCATAAATTATTCCTTATGAGAGAATATGGAATTTGCATAAAGAATTCTAGGGCCCAGAAGAATCTGCCATAAACACACATTTCTTTTTTCATTGAAGTACAGCTGACGTACAATACTAAATAAGTTACATAGTGATTAACAATTTTTAAGATTATCATCCTCCAGTCATATTCATTACAGAATCCTGGCTAAATTCCCTAGTACTATACAATATATCCTTGTAGCTGGTTTTATACTTATTATACCTAACCCTCTATCTATCCTTATACTGCCCCTCCTCTCTTGTCTCTCTGCACTAGTAACCACTAGTTTGTTCTCTGAATCTATGAAACATCCTTTTTATATCTAGATATAGAGATCTCTATAGATTCAGAAAACTAAGATCATGGCATCCGGTCCCATCACTTTATGGCAAATAGACGGCAAAACAGTGGAAACAGTGGCTGACTTTATTTTTTGGGCTCCAAAATCACTGCAGATTGTGATTGCAGTCATGAAATTAAAAGACACTTACTCCTTGGAAGGAAAGTTATGATCAACCTAGACAGCATATTAAAAAGCAGAGACATTATTTTGACAACAAAGGTCCATCTAGTCAAGGCTATGGTTTTTCCAGTAGTCATGTATGGTTGTGACAGTTGGACTATAAAGAAAGCTGAGCACAGAAGAATTGATGCTTTTGAACTGTGGTGTTGGAGAAGACTCTTGAGAATCCCTTGGACTGCAAGGAGATCCAACCAGTCCATCCTAAAGGAAAGCAATCCTGAGCATTCATTGGAAGGACTGACGTTGAAGCTGAAACTCCAATACTTCGGCCACCTGAAGCGAAGAGCTGACTCATTTGAAAAGACCCTGATGCTGGGAAAGATTGAGGGCAGGAGGAGAAGGGGATGACAGAGGATGGGATGGTTGGATGGCATCACTGACTCAATGGACATGAGTTTGGGTAAACTCCGGGAGTTGGTGATGGATAGGGAGGCCTGGCGTGCTGTGGTTCATGGGGTCGCAAAGAGTCGGTCACTACTGAGCAACTGAACTGAAACTGAAATAGATATCTATATCCATATCCATGACTCACCCTTAAAAATGTGTGCAAATCTACTCTAAAATAGCTTCATGGTTGGTTTTAAAAGGTTTGTGTCTCCAAAACAGCTACAAGTGACATTCCTACAAGATGTCATCCTATGACTAAGCAGCAGGCCCCTGGTTCATACCACAGTTTGAGAACAGCACACGCTATGGGCTTGACCTCTCCATCTAACTTACATCATCTGTGTTACAAAACATGAAAGATAAATATTGGATCATGTGATTTGTTCTGGGTAGGTGTATATGGACATGAAGGACAGAGCAGTTGAAACTTACGTGAACAGAAGTTTTTATTTTTATATCATAATCCAATTCTGATCTTTTCCATTGATCAAATCTGAAAAAACTTATATTTTAGCTGTATTACACTTACAAAAACATTCTTCCACATTACATTAGCACATTCCTCATGCTTTTATTCCAGTGTTCAGAAATTTAATGAATAAAATCATGTTACTGGGTCACTTTTAATTACCTTCTTCAAATACATCTAAAGTCTAAATAGTCTAAAGGCTAAATTAAAAAACATTGATCTGCAGTAATCTCCGAAGTCTCTGCCAAATTATTCCAAGGTCAGTATAAGCTGATATTTTCCATCCTACAAAGTTCACGGGAGGCAAACTTGCTCACCCTTTTCTACTGAGCCAAGCTGGGCAAAGTTCTTCCTTAAAACTCTTCCTCTGCCTGTTTGCTGCGGGAACGCTTGAGCTGCTGGAGCCGCTCGATGGTTTCAGAGGTCGTACGTTCTCCATGCACCTTATTGTCTCTGGTGCGGATGTTGACAGTACCGCTGGTTTTCTCTTTTTCACCAACAACTAAACCAAAACCCACAAAGCTTTTGTTAGGTGAAAAGATTCCTACTGAATATTCGAGCAGAAATCTACTCTGTAGCTTCTGATTCACTAAAATGTACAAGTGACCAAATCTACTCATGAAAAAACAAAACCCAACCCACCATTCTACAATGACTAGAACTACTTGCTGTGCTTATTACCAAGTCACTTAATCCAGCCAACTTAATAAAAAATTCACCAGACAAAAAGGAGGAGGTGAAGGGGAGAAGATTTTTAGACAAACCTTTCAAGATTACTTGAATTTTTCAAGTTTTCAAACCAAAATGTTCCTTTGTTGTATCAACAGAACAAACATACAGTTTGAGATCAGGACTGGAAAGAACTACTCATGATCACAATTCCCTTAAGCCTACATCTCCGAGTTTCAAGTCTTCCTAAGGTTTGGCAGGCTGTCTTTGGTAAATCTCCTTTCTTACCTAGGATGAAGTTATATTGTGCTAACTGTGCATTTCTGATCTTCTTGTTTAATGTACAGCCTGGATCCAGATCAATGTCCACCATGAATTTAGCATCATGGAATTGTTGCCGTACCTATTTAAACAGCGAGAATTCTTCAGGTCTCAAGGAGAATTATATTTTGATCTTAAATAATTTTATTTAACAAACAATTTGAACAATTACGCAAACATTAAGAAGGAATGTTAGTAAATATACTGAAGCACACATTATCGTGATGTGGAACTACAAAACAACATATTGAGAGATAAACTGTGAATTAAATAAACTAGGTTAAATTTTCCATCTATCTGACAACCAATTACCATTCAATAAGACAGAATGATATGAACAGGCCATTTTTATTTCACTAATAGGTTTAGTGATCATTAATGATCATTACTGATCATTAACCAATGAACCTCCTGGGACCTTATAAGTATGCAAAAGTCAAAAAGGTTCTTACTTAGTTTATTACAGTGCCAGGATAAGACTACACTCTCAACTGTAACCTATTTTAAAGTACAAGGCACTAGTGCTTTTTTCCTTAACGTGAGCCCTGTGCACACGTTAGTTATTCTGCTACTGGGTAAGAAGCCTGGTAATTGCAGGCTGTTTAATACCTGTGGTCTCTAGTCATTAGTTATTAATAGCAGTGCCCTCCCCCCACAACTCAGTATAATAAAAAATCCACCTCTTATATAATTTGAAATGCCACTCCATCCCCACATAGAGAAAGTCAGTGTTACAGTTGAAAAGTGAGTTAACTAAAACTGACCTTTTTTCTACTGTGTGAGCTTTCATAATGCATATACAATAAAGTAAAATCCATTAACCATGGAAAGCATAACTGATTCTTATCATTTCTAACTAAAACTACTGTGTGAGGTAATAGGAATACAGTATATCTTGAATAGTCTGCCTATCAGTAGGTTTTTTTTTAATGTTCCTTTATTAAAAGGCAGTTGAGACTCGAGTGCAATTTATTCTGATCTGAATGTAGGCTGGGGTTTTTTTTTTGGCTGCACACTGTAGTCTGTGATCTTAGTGCCCCAATCAGGGACTGAACCCGTGCTCCCTTCAATGGAAGCATGGGGTCTTAACCACTGGACTGCCAGGGAAGTCCAACATGGTGGTTTTGATGTTAAAATGTTATTCATTGATATTTAGATTTTTGTCTAGCCAATTTATTACTTTCAGCTTGCAAATATGAAACAATGTTTTTTATTAATAACTCAACTTTTCATAATTTGAGATTCCTTAGCACGGAATTGTTGCTGTATAACAGAATAGACTGTTCTAATCTTTAAGGTGTGAAGTATGAATGGATATTTGTACATCTGTTAGTAAGGTGGCTTTTTGGTAGGGAGGGCAAAGATTGCTCTGTCATACCATCAACTTGAAAAAAAGTTTCCAATTAAAGAAATGTGCCTTAGAAACAAAGCAGAACTACTCTGAGTCAAATAGCAGTTTACACTACATTATGCATTTGAATTTACATGTCACACTACTTGCTAACATTAAAAACTAAAACATACAAGTGTATAAAACTTTACAAATTAAGTCTACTCACCACTGAACCACATAAAAAATATTAAAGTGGTAATATGATCTACTTAGGCTTAAAGACTGAAAATGTAAACACTTCTCTATATCACAAGCAGCTTGACTTACAAAGCACAGATATAATTTATGAGATCTGAAAAGTTGAACAGCAGCTATTAAATTTAAAGAAAGTCATACTTAAGGACTGATTACCTTTTGGGCATATTCATCACACGTTGGTCCCACTGGAACTACCATTACCTGACGAGGGGACAGCCAGAAGGGCCTTCAGAAGAAATAAAAAAATATTTAATGTGAATTTGGGAACTTTCTTCAACAAGGATAGCACATTTCTTCGTCTACTGTTCAGTACCTTTTCCTGAAACATGCAAGGACCACTTCCAAAAACCTGGCTTTTTTTCAAGTCCAATAAGGACTGAAGGATGATTCAGGAACAGAAAAAAGGGAAAATCTGTAACTAAGACTTGTCTTGCTAAGCAGAAAGAGAGCAAAGCAGATAGAGCTGGGACCATGCCCCATAATTCAACACAGCAGCTAACAGCAAACACCACACACCTGCTGCTGGAGGGCTTAACATGCTGATAAAGAAAAGTACTTAATGATTCAAGTTATTTTGCCCCAAAGGTTATTTTACTCAAGTGTTATTATATCACTTATTCTTCATGTAGGGACAGAAACTGTGCCTCAGTTTATTCAAGATCCATTTTGCAGGACTCAACAGACTGAAACTGTTAGTAACTGGTGACGGTACTTGGTAAAACTGAGCGTGTTTTCACTGCTTATAAAAAGGTGAGCCCATCTGTAGTTCTCCTTTCAGGGATTTCAGGCACCCAATCCCCACCCGCTGCAGACTCAAGCCAGTGCTACTCCTGGTCCTGCCTCTATGTTCAAGTGATTTTACTATAATTAGGGGAGTAATCGCTACTGTTAGGCTGGAGTAAGCCCCAAATTGCTTCCCTCATGGCTCAGCTGGTAAAGAATCCACCTGCAATGTGGGAGGATTCGATCCCTGGGTTGGGAGATCCTGGAGAAGGGAAAGGCTATGCACTCCAGTATTCTGGCCTGGAGAATTCCATGGACTGTATAGTCCATGGGGTCGTAAAGAGTCAGACATGACTGAGTGACTTTCATTTTCACTTTCAAGCACCAAATTAGGCTGAATTTGGTGAGCACCAAATTCTACCCCAGTTGTGGGCTGTTCCCCACCTACTACAGGTTTGGTAGGGCATCCGCTGAGGATGCCCTATTCTCGAGATTGTGCAGAGAATACTGCCCATATTTGTTTTGATTTTGTGAAATATAACTGTAAAGAAATAAGCTCATTTCATTTATATGTATGACATCCCTGACCCCTAAAATGTCTGGACTAATCAAATTACAAACGAAACTGAAGTGACTGCAATGCAGTAATAATGCAGGCTGTACAAAATGGGTGTTTCATAACCATTTCCTGTTTTGAACTGCCTTCCCAAAATGGGGGCCCAGACAAAGGTGCTGAGAAAATAAAATGCAACTCATGTGCTTATTATCTTGCCGGCAGAAACAAATGTTTCTAGAAATAAGATACAAAAATATTAATTTGTTTGGACTCTGTACTTTCAATCAAAAAAAAAAAAAAATTTGGCTAAAGGGTCCAAAATGCTTATTTATTATCATCAGCAACACTGAACAAGGCATTGCTGAAGGCCTACTTTTGTTTACTCAAACAAAAATCAAAGTTTTATAAGTTCCCAAAGTACTTAGAAAGCAATCAAAACAATAAGCTTCTTACTGATTAATAATTCCTAATTAGAAAGCATTTATATAACACTCGAACCAATCAACTGCTAAAAATAATTACAAACATTCTTATAGCTAAAAAGTTTGGGTTTAGACTGTAATTCCTTACTTTTTAGTAAACACTTGTCATTAATTAGAAGTTACCAACTAGAATCATTCTCCCTTTCCACCACAGAACTAAACTGGACAGCAGACATTTCTGACAGTTAATTTACACAGTCTGGACAAAAACACAAGGAAATAATGACAAACATTACCATTTGCCGCCATAGTTTTCAGTGAGGATAGCAATCATTCTTTCCACTGACCCCAAGATGGCTCTATGGATAATGACTGGCCTTTTCTTATCATCACCATCATGGCTAGAAAGAAAAAAATTGTCTTCCTTTATTTTGTATATATGTTCCTTTATATCCTTACGGAAGAATATTCAGAGCAGACACTTAGAAACTCACCTTACAAAAGTAAGATTAAATCTAATGGGCAACTGAAAATCCAACTGTATTGTTGCACACTGGTGGTACCGCCCAATAGCGTCTTTAATCTGGATGTCAATCTAAGATGAAAAGATTGGGTTCTATTAGGGGTGAATTTTTTAAAACTTTAAAGTAATCTCTTCTTCACCCGAACAGAAAAGACATACTACTCTTAATTAGACTTTGGTACTGACCTTTGGACCATAGAAAGCTCCATCTCCGGGATTTAATTCCCACTTTTCACCAAACTCATTCAGACTGTTCTCAAGTTGCTAAGGATAAAACAAAATGATTTAAATTTTTGTTCAAATGCACCTTCTTCCATCCTAATTTGAGACTAAAAATATTATAACTACTTTCATGGGTTACTATTCTTTGCTTTACAATTTTGTCCACCTAGACATACTCATACACAAACTCCTTTAAAGGTTACAGCTTGATGACTAAAAAAACACACTCAACCATGTCTAAAATACAAAATCACAGAGGGAAAAACTGGCTTACACAAGTCTAGAACCACTTCCACTTTTCTTTCGCTTTTATCCATTTAAAGAAGCTTGGCTTTCTCATGTTATGGCGCAAGCCAATTTCACTCAAGTAATATTGAAGCATGCTGAAAACCACCACTTACTTTCTCAGCTTGATTCCATACTTCAATATCTCCAAGGAATTTTTCTGGGCGAGTAGACAGGTTCAGTTTAAAAGAAAATCCAAATATGCTATATACTGTACGCAGAAAATCCAAACAACCTTTTATTTCATCCTCAATCTTTACAAAAAAAGAAAAAGGGAGGGGGGCACAATGGTAATTTAATTTTCCTCGATTTTCTTGACATGTCTTTCAAGGTGTTTCACCCCTGAGTCTCATACCTGCTCGATAGCACAGAATATATGGGCATCATCTTGTTGGAACCTTCGGACCCGAGTGAGTCCTGTGAGTGCTCCTGACAGCTCGTTCCTATGAAGCACCCCAAAATCAGCAACTCGCAGAGGCAACTCTCGCCAGGATCTTGGCCGATGATCAAACATGAGGCTAAAGAAGAGAGCAAAGTAAATTCCACTGACATTTAATTTCACAAGAACACAACTGCCTCTCTGAAACTGCTAAGAAAGGCTGTCAAATACTGGATCTAGCTGTTCATACATCAGAAGTCTGGGCTTCTCTAAGCACTTGCATGAATAAAGGAGCAAATAAATTATAATACAACCATCCATAACCAAGCCAGAGTAAAAAATATATTTCCATTAAGCCTGAAGTCCTATCCTTGTGCTCTTTGAGGATGGCCTTTAAGGCTCATATTGTAAAGAAAATCTTAGCTACATAAACAGTGGAAACGAAAGTCTGTACTTTCTGTTGTGCTATGCAAGTCACTTCAGTCGTGTCCAACTCTTTGCTACCCTATGGACGTAGCCTGCGAGGCTCTTCTGTCCGTGGGACAGGCAAGAATACTGGAGTGGGTTGCCATTCCCTTCTCCAGAAGATCTTCCCAATCTGGGGATTGAACCTGCATCTCTTACGCCTACCTGCATTGGCAGGCAGGAGCTTTACCACTAGTGCCTCCTGTACTTTCTTACTGCTCCCCCAAGTGCTTTAGTTCCCAGTTAGTCTGAAGGCACTTCAGAAATTTTGAAGAACCTGGGGAGACTAAGAATGAACCTGAACTTGGCTCCCTGACCTACAAGTCAGGGCCCACGTGGAGACTCCTCTGTCTCATGCCCTCTGTCCTCAAGGCCTGGCTGCTGGGACCGGTGCTAGGAGCTGTGACTTGGCCACCTGCAGCCAGCCCCAGCTCTCCCTGGTCTGCCTTACGCTGCTCCTCACCCAGCTTCCAAGGATACAGAGTGAGCTGCCTCAAGGCAAGAAGGATTTTCCAAGGATGTCAATTCATCAGCAGGAGGTTCTGATACATGTATCTTAAAAAAATAAATAAATAAAAGTCTCCCCTGTTCTGTGTTCTGCCTGTTCACTGATGCTGCCCCAGTGCCACTCTTGAATGTGTACAGATCTGAGGATCTAGCTGGACACAGAAGACATTACACCACTTGCACTGATGATGTATTTAAATACTCTTCTGATTACATCATTTTTTAAAAAAATAATACTTTCAAAGGAGGAAAAACAATCTAGGACGGACGGCTAGAAAATCTGAGAGAAACTCAAAACTGCTGAATACCAGTGTCCCGGGCAGTTCATGGGTTTCAGAGCAAACAGTTCCTTTTCCACTTCAAAGGAGAACATGTTCTCGCTGTAGTGCTGCCAGTGGCCCGAGGTCACCCAGAGCCGGCTATTGTAGATGTTCGGGGTGACCACCTCCTGGAATCCTCGTTTCCTATATTCACTCTGTTAGGAAACAGACACAATGCATGTGTAGGGAATACATGCTTACACATCAGGTGCAAGGAACAATTTCACGAGCATGAATACATGCTTACACATCAGGTGCAAGGAACAATTTCACGAGCCATTTTATACTATCTAGTAAAGTTCAAGATTCACATCTTAAAATCTCGAAGCTCTGCCGGGAGGCATTCACCAAAGAGGAAGCCCCTGCACAGGTACAAGAGGAGGGTACCCCAGCACAACTGGTCACACGGGAGAAAGGGAAATGACGTCAGTGTGCCCAGTAAGGAAATGGGCTGGTTTTATTGAGCTACCTCAATAAAAAATCTGAAGCAAATATAGCCCCGTTTGGATGTGTTTTAATTAGGAGACGAGTACAGAGATACTGGTGGTGTTATTCTCTATGAACGTACGGTTGTCACAGTTTACAAAGAAAAAAGTAATGTAAAGATTAGCTTGTTTTTCAAAGAAAATACAAATCAACAGTCAGAAAGCCACAGATCTCCCGCATAAGGGATTACGGGCCCCATTTCAAGCTCACCAGCTTGTCTCATGCATATATACCCACCTATATGGACAAGACCATGTATTAGGAGGAAAGAATTTTTTATACATTTTATGAGACCTAATACATCCATTTTCATTTATTCTTTAAAATGTTTCTTCTCAAAGACAAGGCTATCTTTCCCTCTGGCAGACCTTATCTCATAAAAATCAACTTATGTCTTAAATCTACAGAAGAAAAGAATGAATATGGCTTACCCTGATGAATTCAATAAGTGTGTTATAAATGTAGGCTCCCTTGGGCAGGAAAAAGCAACTCCCAGGGCTGAGTTCATGGAAGAAGTAGAGTTCTTGGTCCTGGGTATACAAAAGCAAAAGGAAGTTTATACGTATATATATGGATCATGCCCAGCACAGAGTGAACACACTTGCAGAAATGAGTATTTTTTTTTTACCAAACTTAACTTCCAGTTTAGAAAACATCCAGGGGTAGAGGAATAAAGCAAAGGACACCACAGAAGCCACTGGTGATGCTCTGTGTCATCTTGGGCAACAGGCAGATAAACGTTCCTGGGACTTAAGTTTCCATGTCTTTCAAGTCAGTCAGCGAGAGCAGGGAATTGCAAAAGCATCTCCCAGCCCTACGAAATGCTGCTATACTTCTTTTACAGAAAAATATAGGCCATCAACATGTGTTCTCAATAAAAGGAGTAGTTAAAATGAATTACTGCACAGCACTGAACACACTCTAGAAATATAATGTGGATGATGAATAAGTAATTTACAGCTTTTCCAGGACAGTACAGTAAGTCCTTGAAAGCTACAGCACCTCTCAGAATTAAATTCCCATTACCTGATACAATTATATTTCAAATGAAAATCTGGTCTACACACACTATTCTTTTTAAACATACCCTTCCAATTTTCCTATGATCTCGGTTTTTAGCCTCCTCTTGGAACTTCTCCCATTCTTTCAGCATCTTAGGATCTGGAAATGAAATGCCATAAATTCTCTGTAGAGTCTCCATATCTGACTTGCCTTCCCAGTAGGTGGAGGAATTCTGAAAAAAAGGAATAACCAAGAGATAACGTTCAAACTCTTAATATCTCATTTAAGAGTTACATGTTATTTCTCACAGTTACATTATAAGTCAAATTCGTATTTAGCCCTTATTTCAAGAAAAATGGCACAAAAAGCGAACATGTAGTATATAAGCATCTCCCAGTTGCTGAGGTCTGTCTAGAGTGGTTGTACTCACTCCACAGCATGAAGCTAGTTGCTTAATCCTCTCAAAATTGCCCAGTTCTCAATACAAACTGACATCACAACTCCACAAACAAAACTGCCTTTAGCAGCACCTTTCTTTCACAACAAGATTCGGCAAAAATGGAAAATCAGCTAACCAACCAACAACAAAAAAAATCTTATTGGCCTGATTAGTTTGGTTAAAAAAGAACAACTTGGATAATTACCACCTTAGACATACAAAAGTCAAAAGCATGCACCCTATAGTGAGTCGGTCTCAAAGCTTGACTGTGTGATTTTGTAAGTTCCCCAAATCTCCACCACCATGTGCTCTGGTGATGGGTGGTGAGTCTCTCAGTCACTGCTTGAGAGAATTTCAGTTAAAAAAAAAAAAATGTCTACAGACACACAGTGTCCACAGTCAGCAGACAGCACAAGAAAAAAATCCACCCTTACACATGCAAGAGAAACATGGCTGAAAAGAGAAATGAATGCAAGTTTAAATAAACATACATCTTTAGTAGACAAGTATGTCTACATAGAGCCCCCAAAGTTATACCGCTTACTTTGTGTATTTTCAAAGTCTTGATTTTGCCAGTGTGTCTGACATGAGGACCCCGGCAGAGATCTATCAAGGGACCACACCTGAAGATTAAAAAAAAAAGGAATTTTAACAAAGACTTAAAATGACATATACAATAGTAGTATTTAACGACACTTGATATTCTCACCTATAGACTGTGGTAGTTGGAGTATTCACTTTTTCATTCAAAATCCTGCATTTGAACTTGTTGTACTGAAAATAGAAAAAATTATTTTAAAAAATAACCACTCTTCAATTTTTACTTCTAAATACTGTAGCTAAAATACAATGTGAAGTATGTCTAATCACTGTATGACTATAAATGTCATACATGTTTTAAAAACATTTGTTAAATTTTTCTAAAGAACAGGATAGGCATCGACTTAGTATGCTAAGCCCAATGTACTTTAAGTAATGTTAATGAGTGAAACAGAAGTAGAGGCCATGTTACAGTTCAATTTACCTTAAACATTTCCAGTAAAGTTTCCTTCTTAACTTCTAATCTTTCAAAAGCTTGCTTTTCTTTAATGATTTTCTTACATAAAGTCTCCAAAGAAGAGAAATCATTGCTGGACACACCCCTGAAGAATAAAATAGAATTAATCTCTTTCTAGCCCATTCTACTCACACCACAGCTTGGGGGAACATGTCTTTAGAATACATCAAAGGTTTTTATTTAATATAGAATATCAGACCCCTGCATTATATTAAGAATTTTAGACCCCGGCATCATATATTAAGAATTTTAGACCCTTGTATCATATATTAAGAATTTTAAACTAGATTTTTTTATAAACTATTTTTATATTTTCAGTGACTTCGAGCTTGCTCTTCATAAAGACTATTCCCACATGTCCCACTAGGAAAGGAGAGGTTCAACCTTCATTTCATTTCCCGACATAAGGTTTAGGTCTATGATCTAAATCATCTTCGTTGATCTCTCAAGAAAGTCTTTACTACTTCATGAGTTACTACAACACTTCAAGTTTTCTTAGCAGGAATACTGGCTAACTATGAAGAATAAGCTTTATATCATTTCTCCTTTATTGACAAATCTTTAAAAATAAAGTATGAACCCACAGTAGTTCAGATTTTATTTTTCTTTATCCAGTTACACAACTTACCCTTCTTCAAGGTACATGTCATAATAGAATCCATTTTCTATTGGTGGTCCATAACACAAACATCCACCATAGACTCTTTCCATGGCTTCACCCATTATGTGAGCACTTGAGTGCCAATACACCTGAAAATTCAAAGAAAAATAAGGTGGTTTGAGTCTGGGAGTACAAGTTGTAAATTAATTGTTTGTTTTGAAAGATACATAAAGTTTAGTATAGAATAAACTCAAGACAAGGAGATCTAAATTTATAAACCTACCAATTGCAATGTGATTCTACTCAGAGCCAAAAGGATTTAAAAGGATTCTAATTACTAAATTGTATTTGTATATTAGAAATTATCTGTTCAAACAAATTAAAATACAAATTAGCACCACTAATTAAATTGGATGGATTTTGTTCCCTGAAAACAACAGGTACCCACAACATGACTGTCATATTAACTGCAATGGTCTAGGGTCTCTTGAGTCAATCCCACGGGCTATGCTCTGGCCTTTACTTGGCTGTGGAATATCACTTACGAGTTATAGCTGATTTTTTTCTTATTCTGTTTAGTTGCTCAGTTGTGTCCAACTCTTTGCGACCCCATGGACTATAGCCCACCAGGCTCCTCTGTCCATGGGGATTATCCAGGCAAGAATACTGGAGTGGGTTGCCATGCCCTCCCCTCCAGGGGATGTTCCTGACCAGGGATCCAACTCAGGTCTCCCACAATGCAGGTGGATTTTTTACCATCTGAGCTACCATGGAAGCCCTTTTTTCTTTTTGACCCCAAACAACATACAACTAGAGCCTATAATACAATTTAAAACCAAGAACAAACACATGGACCTTGAAATCAAATAAAAAGTAATAAGTAAATTTAAATTCTCATAAAAAACTTCCAGAGTACATTTGGAAACCGTTGATTCATGTAAGCAAATCACCGTCACAAAAACAAAATATTTTATTTCTTCTTACACAGTATTCCACCCTGGAGAAATAAGGGGAAATCTCTGCTGTCAAATGCAGACTGATTTTTATAGTGCTTTCAGCATTTTAAGGTAAGAAAGATATGAAAATCAATTTTCCAAAAGGAACAGGAATTTAAATCATGTTCAAATTTAATAAATAGATACATCTTAAGTGTTGACTAATAGTGTAGAGAACAATTTTTACTTGCTTAATCAATTTCTAATAAAATTCTGAGCACTTTCCCTTCACTGAAGTATCTTGAGTAAGAATAAATTTGAATTAAGTGCACTTCTTAATTTTATAAAAACAAACACTACATGAAAGACAAAAATCAAGACTTCAAATATGACAATGAGACATCAACCAACTTTAACCACCTGTTGGCTTAAATAATAAGCCGGAATAGACTGTGAATCTGAATAAAAACTTACTGCTTGAGCTTCCTCATCCTCAAACTTGAGCAGCTCCAAGGTGCAATCTTCCTCCAGAGGACGGTCTAGGTCCCAGACGGCTTTATTCACCTTAGCAACGACAGTGTTGTCGGCCAGGCCTTGACTTAAAATATATACACACATGTATAAAAACACAAGACTCTATAAAAAAGAATCTTCTGTAGCACAACAGTTGATGTGAGAATCAAAATAAGAAACATTATATACAGGCATATCTTGTCTTTGCTACACCCTGTAGACACACACACACACAATATATGTGTGTGTGTGTGTGGGGGTAACCCTGCATCAAGCCTGTCGGCACCATTTTCAGAACTGCATTTGCTTACTTTGTGCCTCTGTGTCACATTTTTTTAATTCTCACAATATTTCAAGCTTTTTCATTATGATGATACTTGTTGTTATGGTGATCTGTGATCTTCGATGTTAGTATTAAGATTTGCTGTAGGTTCAGATGATGGTTGGCGTCTTTTAGTAATACAGTGTTTTTAAATTAGGGCATGTCCTGTTTTTTCAGACCAAACTATTGGACAGTTAATAGATTACAGTATAATGCAAACAACTTGTATATGCACTGTGAAACCAAAAAATTCACATGACTTGCTTTTTTGTGATGGTCTGGAACTGAACCTGTAGTGTCTCTGAGGTTTGACTGTGTATTATATGGTGATGTACATTTAACTTTCTGAAATAAAATTAAAAAGCAACAGAATTCAAGATAGTCCCCAAGAATATAACTAGAAGATTCTGAAAATCTCAAACACTATTATTTGACATCTAATGCTTCTTGTTTAAGCAAACATGGCAACTGTAACAAACAATAACAACTTCCAGTAGCTAACATTTTAATTTCTTAAAAATTAATTTTCCATAAAACCAAGCTATTTAAACTCCAAAGAAAAAAAGGGCGGGGCGGGGGGGGGGCGGGGATAGGGCTGTTCTAAATAACTTCTCTGCTTTTCTTCTGTTTGAAATCTGTAACAGATCTTTCCTTTGAGAGGCGACACTAATCTCAGAATTCTGCAAATGCCTAAGATGATATTATTTACAACATATATGTGAAATGAAATGCTATCTAATAAAATGTTTTATAATACAGATAAAAACGTCACCTAAATACATAGTACAAAGTACAAGTGATGAGGTGTCAGACCACACCAGGTACAGAAGTCACAGGAGCTCTGAGGAAGTGAAAGCAGCACAGATCAGAGGCGCCTGGACAGGCTTTAAACATAAAGTAACCAGGTGTCTAGTGGTTAAGAATCCGCCTTCCTTCCAAAACAAGGGACGTGCATTTGATCCCTGGTCGGGAAATGAAGATCCCACATGTTCTGGGCAACTAAGCCTTCACACCACAACTACTGAGCCTGCATGCTCTAGAGCCGGCAGACCACAAATAGAGAGAAACCCATACATTGCCATGAAGAGCCCATGTGCCATACCGAAAGATCCACATGCTGGAACGAAGGTCCATGATGCCAGAACAAAGACCCGATGCAGCCAAAAATAAACAAATATTAAAAAAAAATAAAGTACCCGGGGGCTGAAGGATCAGAAGATTTGGACAGGAAGAAAAGCAGAGGAGGAGGTACTCCAAGTGTGAGAACTGGCATGGATGCAAGCAGAGATATGTTAGGAAAGGTACAGGTAGCCGTGTGGCTCAGGCAGGATTGAGTACGGTTAGTCAGATTACAGATGCGAGCGTGCAGCTGGAGAAGCAACAGTCTATTCTCTATACTATACTATACTATATCTATACTATAACCTGACAAAAGCAGGCAACACCCTACACCATGAAGCCTTCACACGGTGAGTCTTAAGTCTACCACCAGCAGGCTTGGACTAGCTGAACTTGCTGTGGGAGCTGGTTCACTCCTTGTTCTGTTTACGGGTTTACAACCTGTTTATATATCCTTCCCCGCCGAAGCATCAGAACTGAAGAACAAACAGAAAACCCATTCCTACCCCATCTTCAGTGTTCCCACTGAATTTCCCATATATTATACCCAATGTTTCCTTTCCCCCGAGATCAAAAGGATCAAATAAAAAAAAAAAGTCTACATTCACAAAAGATACATGGATTTGTCAGAGGGAAATATATTTTATCATACTGGTGTAAAACACTTGTCAAAAGATTAAAGTACTGATGAACATGTGATTAATATTCGCTGTATTCTTTGGAAAGAAAATAAGTTTCACCTTAGGATCCAAAAGGTACTCTGAGATGCTTACAATTTTGAAAATATAGATTATACATGAATAATACTGGCTCATTTCAATTTTTCAAAGAAGGGGTAAAATAATCTACAAAGTAAGATTTGGAACAAAACTTCAAAGAAAAACATTCTGAAGCAAATGGAGCAACCCCCCTCCCTTTTTTCCTTTCATATATTTACTACAAATCACCTGAACCTTTAAATAGCCTGTTATTCACGCTATACATTTTCACAGAACAAGAAGTTATTCCAGGCTTTTGTAAAAGTGTCATAAAACACTCACTTTCCTATCAGTGACTTAATTCTAGGCCTAGAGTTCACCAGTGTCTTACATGGTTCAACTTAGAATTTTGATGTTTCCCCCAAAATATTTTCTGACTAGTTAGCTGTAATGGAAGCATTAATTAAAAAGAAAGGGAAAATTGTTTTCCAATTGGCCACTTGATAAAGTACAACATAATCTGAAGAATGTTTTAGTATGTAGAGAATGAGTTCCTGGAGTGACAGGAGCCTGGATTTTAACAATGACACAGCTACCATCTTGTTGCACAACAACGGAGCAATCTCTTAAAACAACCAACCTGTAAAATTCTCTCTCAAGTGAAAGGCTGAACTGATACTTATATCTTATATATATACTTATATCCATATACCCAGTTATATATGACCTCACATGGAAACTTGCTTAATATTCTTACCACCTTTGGAGTAAGGCAGAAGTACTTTAGGTAGAAATACTTGTCCAATTAATAGCAACATTCCATCCCCTTTGTAAGAAGGCCAGGGCAGACTGAACACATGGCTCATGGGCCGAACTGCTCCTACTCCCACTAGCTGCATAGTGGGCTTACCAAAAACCAGCTGTATGTGATGGCTCCCAAATTTGTTTGTGCACTTGTTATTGTATCTCTTAGGTTCAACAATATGATAGCGATGATAATCATTTTTGACAATTCATATGATGATTTCAGTGGTTTCAGCTCAATATGTAATCATTATAAGTAAACAGAAACAGGTAAATAATACAACAAGGGAATTACAATTCTGCGAAAACCAAGTTGAATGTTTGGGAAGGCTTGATACAGGCAAGTCACTTAAAAAAGTTGTCAAGTCAGGTGTGGAGGAAACAACTACATAAAAATCTGGAAGGATTTTGCACTCAGAAGGCTTCTCAAGTGTGTTAAGATAATGTAAAAGTTTAATTAGCACTCCACCCACCCCCAACCTTGGTATTATGGTCTTATTAGTCATTTTTTTTATGAACATAGTTTGCCAATATCGGGTAGAAAATATATGTATCAATTTATGTCAGGTGTGGATGAAACAATTGCATAAAAATCTAGAAGGATTTTGCACTCAGAAGGCTTCTCAAGTGTGTTAAGATAATGTAAAAGTTTAATTAGCACCCCACCCACCCCCAACCTTGGCATTATAGTCATATTAGTCATTTTTTTTATGACCATAGTTTGCCAATACCTGGTAGAAAATAAATGTATCAATTTATGCCTTTCCAACTTTATCATTTTTTGATAAATTTACCAGCTATTCATCCCTATCATATCAAGAAAGCATTTACTTTATTACAAAGTATGCATCTAATTTTCACTTACCTGAATTTACTTTAACCCAGCCCAACGAAAGTTTTAACATTAGATTTACAAAAATAATAGTTTTTCACGTGTCATGTTAGTTTTTTAACTTTCCCATTTGAGATGAGCTACTTTCATTTTTAATTTTAAAACTGAGAATTTTAGTAAAAATAGATGACGCAGTCTCTACTTGCTTATGTGACATTGTATGATCAAAGTAGAAGAAATATATGAGGATATGCAATCCACTCCAGTATTCTTGCCTGGAGAATCCCATGGACAGAGGAGCCTGGCAGGCTATGGCGTCCATAGGGTCGCACAGAATTGGACACTACTGAGGCGACTTAGTATGCATGCATGCAGAAGATATATAATCTTTTGTAAAATAAGACCAAAGTCTTCAAGATATTAACTTTGAATCTTGACCACAAAGCTCTAAACTGCTTTGATTTTTTAAAAAACCCAAATAAAGTAAATTAAACAATAAAAGCATTGAACAGGAACATAACTGTTATGAGGATAAAACTTGGCAAGATAAAAAAAAAAGTTTAGTTACAAACAACAAATGGTCAAGACAGGTATAGCTCATACCTAATTCCACAAGCAATTTGATATGGTGTAGTTTTCCAGGATTCTGCATCCACCTGTTTACCATCAGGCAGGGTGACTTTAATAGGCTTACTATCTTTTTCTGCCTTTTCTGCCAGAATGGAATCGTGTTCTGCTTTTAGCTTATTGTACATCTCAAGACGTGTGTTAATATATTCGGGCCAAGGATTCAACTGCAAGATAACAAATAAACAGTCAGTAACAAATAAACAGTCAGTATTCCTTTTCATATAGAAAAGCAAAAGAAATAATAATAAAAAGATTTATCTTTTTTTTTTAAAAGATCTATCTTATGTGAAGTAGTGCTTTGTTTTTTTCCCTCTTACAAAATTTCCTTCTCATTTCAATCCAATTTTTGGGGGGCTTTTTTTTTTTTTTTTAAATGGAAGAGTCTTGATCTCTTTATAACTCCCTTCTACCACAGTCCTTCCCTTTCTTTAGTTATTCAGGGGCTCCTAGGGGGCTTTTCATTAAATCATCACAGGGGTCCATAATCCTTGATAGGGAAGCACCAATAAATTAACTGAAAGCTCAGAGCCCATCATTCTATTAATGCAATGCTGCTAACATTACCTGGTCCCACCTACCCACATAACCCTCTGGATCTTACTGCCGTTTACCTCCACATCCATTTGGCACTTCCTGATCAGAAGCACTTAGTGTTAAACTTAACTAATTCACCACTCATGGAGCAATATTCTCTGTATCTGGCCCTGCAGAGGAGAAGAAGACCTACCCGCTGCCCTTAGAAGGGAACCAGACAAGTACATAAATGATGGGAGTATGGAGGAGGAGGAAAGGTCTTGGATACCTCACTGTACACTTTTTTCCAGACAGATCACTTAACATACATAATCAGTCACATCACACACACATTCTTGAATCAGAAAAGTCCTCAAATTATATCCCTCCTTTCCTATTTCCAGGCTAGTTCTCAAACCTTAACAGAAGAGCACGTACTACTCGTATTGAAAGTATAAAAAAGAAATTAGGGAACATTATGCATTTTCTTAGAAATTCTGAAATTCAGTCAACAATTCCCCCTATAGTTACAGTGGGATACAATGGACAGAACATAACAGCAATGGTTATGCAGGGCTCTAAGCAACACTTAGTGGTGCTTGATCACCTACAAACTTACGTTTCAGTAAGTGGAAGTGCTTTAAGTTGAGCAATGCAACGTTTATAAAAAGAGCTCTTAAGTCAATTTACGGTGCTATAGGGTACTTCTTAAGAGCCTATTCCTTTCTTCTTCTGTCTTTTGGTCATTTTCTAAAGAGTCTCTAATAAAACAGCTGCAATGACAAAAGCAAAAAGTGAAGCCTAGTTCACAGCAGTTCAACTTCAAGAACAAAGAAGGAAGACGAGTGTCACCGCCTCCTGCAGCACCCAGGAACTAGGTGGATTCTGGGATGACTCCTGAGATGTCAGTTCCTTCCAGTGTCTGCCTGGTGAACCGAAAGCATTTTTGCTACACTTGTGAGGCCTCCAGGAGATTTGTCCTGGCTTAAAACCAGTCCCTAGTGGCAGGTCCAGGTGGAAAACAGTGCGAATGGGGTGAAGGAATGGGGCTTTCTTTGGTTTCTCTTGTACTCAATATAAGCTCAAACACCAAGTCTCTCAATGTCTCATTGAAGGAAATGGTCAGAGGGCTAGCACCCAATCTGGAAACTGAATAATTATCACAGTCCTCTTTTTACCAACGTTTGTTCTCTGGTTTTCACATCTAACCCCACAGATTATCTTACAATCATACTTCAGCTGTTTTTCTTTTTCAATAACAAGTAACTGCTAGTCTTTCTTCCCTCTTAGACTTTCCTGGTTCTTCTCCCTGATTTTTCCATCTTGTGCCATCTTAAAATCCCATGAAAACCATAAGACTCTCACACAGGACGAGTCTAAGACAGTTTCCTGCCCGGTCAACCTCTGATGAGAGAGCCCTGAAAACATTTACCTCTGATCGGCCTCCATCCCCTGATCCTTCTTTATTCTTCTTCTTGCTTCCTTCCTTTTGTTTCTCTTCACCAGCACCTACCTAAAGAAGGAAAAAAGACATGAAGGCTCTTTATTTTAATTTAATTTGACATCCATCCAAGCTACCCCTGGGAAAGTTTTGAGGATATTATTTTACCATCTGTTTTTTAAAAAAGTGGAAGTCTGATTTTGAAAGAGGAGGAAATTTCACCACTGCCAAAGACAAGTTAACAACTTACAATTAAGACAGGCCTTTAAAAAGCACAGAAGAGTTACTTGGTAATATCCAAGTCCTCAAATTTCATTCACTTTCCCTATTCTCATGATTCCTGCTTCAAGTTTAAAAGGACATATACTATATAGCCACAAGAAGCATGCAATTTATTCAGTTTGTATTTTCAGGAAAAAAAAACTACTAGTGTAATATATACTGACCCATTCCACAAATACTACCCAGAGCCTCTGTGCTCACAGTATTTGTTTTAAAACCCTGCAGAAGAAGCAAACATAAGACTCAATCCCTATCATGTATAAACTTAATCTTTCCAGAGAAACTAAGGCATACAGGTGTGAGAAACTCCTAGAGGAGAAAAGAAAACAGCTGTAGCACCCTGATGTGATGTCAGATGCGCTCTGACAACAGCAACCATTAGGGCTTTAAAAGACTTTACAGGACGAAGGTTTCAACAGGCTGGATGTTGAGAATGGAGGCCATTTCTTTGTTTTGTTTCTTTATTATTTTAAAACTTTCTATTTTGCATTGGGGTATAGCTGATTAACAATGTTGTGACAGTTTCAGGTGAATAGCAAGCGAAGGGATTCAGCCATACATATACATGTATGACAATGAAGGACATTTCTTTATTGCTGGAAACGAGACAGTGATAAACGACTAAACCTCTTAGGAAATCTTGTCAGTGGAGACAGGAGAGGGCTCAGACAGAAGTGCTAAAAGTTACCATAAAGAATGTGGACTTCTTAGAATTCAGTTCAATTCCAGAAGTCACAGAAAGTTTTAAAGTAGGAAGCCCTGTGCAAGAAGACACCAATGGCAAGAACTAGTCTTAACCAGTGGTTCTCACCCAGAAGCAGTGCCCTGTTCAGTAAACGTTTGGCAATGTCTGAAAACCTTTTTGCTTGTCACAATTGGGGAGTACAATTGGCATAGACTGGGCAGAGGCCAGGGATGGTGCTAAGCATCCAACAAGGCACAGGACAGCTTCCCACAACAAAGAATTATCCAGTGTGTAGTGTCAAGAGCATTGAGGTCGAGAAATCCCGAACCACATTAAGGAATACTACAGGAAACGGCTACCCACTCTAGTGTTCTTGCCTGGAGAGTCCCATGGACAGAGGAACCTGGTAGGCTATACAATCCGTGTGATTGCAAGGAGTCGGACATGACTAGCAACCAACAGTACCACACTACTACAAAGAGTATCGTCTCAGAAATAAATGGCTTACCTCCCTGTCATTGCTCAGAGAGAAACATCCTAGAGCAAATTTCACCACATAAGTTTTACCATCTACAGAGTTCCTCCACAATCACCTCGGATTCTCACAGAAACACTGTGAGATGGCTATCATTATTCCCATTTTATGCATGATTAAATTTGAAAAAGTTAGATAATTTTTCTAGGTTCAGAAAACCTTAAGTGGTAGGAAGAAAAGACACCCACCCAGAAGTTGACAGTGGTCAACTCTAAGGGAGGAAGGGATCTTCAGCAGTGAAGGAGTGTTAGGGCAGAACTGGGGATGGGGGCGGGAGCACAACACTTTAGTTTTGTAAATGTTTTTGACCTTCGAACTCTTAAAAAACAGTTGAAGATATATTCCTACACCATAAAATGCACCCACACACACAAAAAAGGCATAATTCAATGGTTTTTCAGTGTATTTACAGTTGCCCAACTATCACCACAATCAATTTCATTATCTGCAAAGGAAATCCTGTACACATTAGCAGTTATTCCCTCCTCCCCCGTCTCTCCAGCACTTGGCAACAACTAGTATTTCTGTTTCTATAGCCGTGCCTATTCTGGGCATTGCATACAAATGGAATCATACAATAAAGTCATTTGTGACTGGCTTCTTTAAGCCAGTATATGATTTCAAGATCATCTACATTACGTGTATCAGTACTGCACTCCTTTTTACTGTCAAATAACATTTCATTATTTATCCATTTATCACTTATGGACATTTTGATTGTTCTTTTCAATTTCACAAAACTTATGACTTGCATCATTTAAAACACAAAATTGTAAAAATATTACTCCAAATTTCCTTTTAAGCTAACACATCCCCTACTCTGGGATTCAGGACTTAATGAACTTTTAAGGTTCATCTACAGCCGACAGTTGAACAATGAATACACTGTTAAGTCCATTCTAGTCAAGTAAAGTACTGACAGGATTCTAAGATTACCTGCATGCCTTCACTATATGATTAATATTATATTAATTATAATATGATAGTGAATATTATGTGATATATATAATATAATATACACTACATATACAAGTAATATATAATATGTAATAATAGAATATAATAGTGAACATTAATATTATTAATAACTAAACAAGTATTCAGGTAAAAAGATGGATACAAAATTAATTGCAGGTCTATCTATGAAAAATCAAAACGGAAAGAGAAGGAAACATTTCTGGTTTTCGGATTAAATGTTTTTGGTCACATGGATACTGCTAAATGAAAGCGGTAATGATAAAGGAGAGAACTAACATCAAGGTTTTTTTCTGTGTTCTACAACACCTCTCCATTTGACAAAAGAGGCTAGTGGCTCAAAAAGAGTAAGTAACTTTCTACTTGCATACAGCTAGTAAACAGGGTTTCCCTTAAAGAAACCGTCTGCAATGCGGGAGCCCTGGGTTCGATCCCTCGGTTGGGAAGATCCCCTGGAGGAGGGCATGGCAACCCACTCCAGTATTCTTGCCTGGAGAATCCCATGGCAGAGGAGCCTGGTGGGCTACAGTTCATAGGGTCGCAAAGAGTCGGACACGACTGAGCGACTAAGCACAGCATAGTGAACAGTAGAGCCACGCCACTAAAATGGGTCTCTCTGGAACCCTGAGGTCCACTTCCCCTTCCCTGTAACAACTGGAAACGTGACGGGGCAGTCGTTCTTTATTTCCAACGAAAACAGAAAAAAGATGGGCAAGTGTACATACTATATATTTACATAAAAGCGATCTGAACTTTCAACCCAAAAGTTGGCCCACGGAACAGGATTGGGAAGATGTTCCCAAGCATAGTATGCCACTAAAGCGAAAAGTTCAGACGCGAAATGATGATCGTTTGTCAATGTGATAAGGCAAGCCTCCAGCATCCGGCAACTGTGTAACTTCTCTAGAATTTGCCAAGTGGGGTGGTCTCCACCGTTTATTATACACTTGGGCAGATATCGGTGACGTGGTTTTTCCCTTACTGGGTCTTTCACCCGTACATGGTTTTAAAATTAAATGAGGCTCCGCAACATTCTTCCGGACTCAAGTGAGCCAAAGACGCTAGTCTGTAAGTCCAAAGCTCTAGATTCTAGTTCTGTCTCGGCTTCTGATTAGTTGTGTGGCTCTGAGCAAGACACTCAGCGGCCTCATCCACAAAAAGAGGATGGACCCGGAGACGATCTGCAAGGCCCCGCCCTGCTCTATGAATCTGCGATTCCCCTCCAAAGGGGGCCCTGACTCGTCCCAGAGTCCCATCGCCCCCCGCCCCGGCTTCCTCCACCCCTCCCTCTCCCCACGTTGGGCAACACGGGTACCAGAGCCCCAGCGCGGCCTCCGGGATCCACTCAGCCCGCTCACCGGCTTCTCCTCGTCTCCCATTTTCGCTGAAGGGCCACTGGCCTGCTCCTCGGACACCCGCAAACCACCAAGAGAAAACTAAACCCCAGATCGACTGCCAGGAGGAAACGACAGCCGTCGGCAAGCAGAGGTGGGCAGCGCCTCGTGGTCCACAGATGATGCAATCGGAAAGCGCCCAAACTCCGCCTACTCCAACCTGATGGGAGAGCAGGCAGCTAATCGACAACCCGGAATGGCGGGCCCTCCTTTCTCTAAGCCAATGGAAAAGCGTCTTTGGCGATACCCCTTCTAGAAAACCAGGCAGCGGCGGGGCGGGAGAGGAAACTACAGAACCTGCACTCACTCGTGGCGAGTTATAGGGTCATCCCCGGAGCCCAGAAGTCCGCAATGCGCGTGCGCCTTCTTCCGGGCTGACTGCGCCTATTACTCCAGGGCCCTTTCGGCCGCCGTAGCAAGCAAGACGCGCTAAGTCTGAGCTTCCGGGAAGTTTCCGGTTACCGGTTCCTGGCCCAGGGTCAGACCCTGCAGTAGAGGCCAGAGTTCCTTGATGCTTTGGGCTATCTGACCTTCCGTGACTGCTGAGTGCTGCGGACTTTTCCCGGCTCTCAAGTCTATGGCGGTGAACCAACCGAGGCCCTCCTTCTTGCAATCCAGAGTTCCCAAGACCTAAGCCTTGTTGATCCGGGGACGAGCGCCTTTCCTCGGACATTCATTATTATTACACGCTACCTCCAGTCTATTGCATCAGGGAACTCTTCCACAGAGACTATGAAAATGCAACGAAACTTTGCTTAAGGAAATAACCACGCCGACTCCGCGGATTCTCCCTCACAGCGGTCTCAGTGTTTGGAATCGAATGACTCTACTTTCATTTATTTTGTCAATCAATCTAAAACAGTCGCTGTTTTGAAATCAGAAGCATAATGAGCTTGTTTACAGTTTATGTACTCCACCAAGTTTCATGGATTATATTTTCTAAACATCAGTCCTCGACAACTTGCCTCCTTCAGGGTCATCCTTTCATGAAGCTCAGTCAATAGCCTCCTAACCCGATTTCTTGGGCTCATTTTTTTTTTTCATATGCCAGCAGTCTATTTCTCAGTGAATTTCCTTTTATTATCTTTCCACAAGGGAGAATAGTCTTTTTAAAAAAATAGAAATATAATCATGGCAACCTCTAGCTTAAAACTCTCAAGTGGCTTTCAGCGTAAAGAAAGTCATGGTTTTGAAGGCCTCTGACTGCCCAACTTGTTCACTACACTGAGCTGCAACCTTAATGACATTTTTATTTCTCGTGTCTGCCTATTGAGGCTATTCTCATCTCTGCCTGCCCCACATACTTTTTGCCTATTTAGCAACTACTTATTAGATCTCAGAAATTGTTTTCTTTGAGGGAGAATTTCTTGACCACTCTTACTGGGATGGGGTGAGTCTCCCTGTTACATATTCTGGTAGCTTTCTGTAGCGCTCTTTATAGCACAATTGTAAAACCACTTCGGTTCTACCATTAAAAAAGTTATTTTCTCAGGTTGAAAACGTCACAGAAGCACAACTTGTGTATTTTTGCCAGCATCTAGCAGATAAAAGCCTGACACACAGTTGATGTTCAATACATGTTAAGGGAATTAATGATTGTTGAGACAATCCTTGCTTGAAAAACTGCCTCTTAATCTGGATTGTGAAAGAAAGAAGCCCAAGCAGCCTCTATACTAATAAGATTGAGAAGAAGGTCTATAATTAGAGTAGATTATTAGTAGTACTTGGTGGATGTTCTCTTTCAGAAGTTCCAGGAGTCAGACACAATTTTATAGGCTTAAGTAAATCAATCTGACTTCCCATATATAAATCACAATGAGAATCAGCGAGATCTAGTCTTTGCTTCTAATGCAAATCAATTTAATTGTGCTCATTAGCAGTGTTTTCCTGAATTATACCTAAATTTTAAATGAGACTGATGAAGACCAAGAAAGATCAAGACACTGAATTTGCTAGAGGCAGAACAGTGTTAGTCATTCAGTCGTGTCTGACTCTGTGACCCCATGGACTGCAGCCTGCCAGGCTCCTCTGTCCAATGGATTTTCCAGGCAAAAATACTGGAGTGGGTTGCCATTTCCTTCTCCAAGGGGTCTTCCTGACCCAGGGATGGAACCTGGGTCTCCTGCACTTCAGGCAGATTCTTCACCCTCTGAGTCACCAGAGGCAGAATAAGATTGGCTAAAAATTACAGTGTTCTTACTGTGGTGAAACTTGTTCTCATTTAACCTCAGAACCAATGCTGGCCTAAGAATGGTAAAAAGAAAAAGCAAAAGGCTTTTCTGAAGGGTTCAATGTGGTGCAGGAATGTAGAAGCTGCTGCTGCAAAAAAAAAAAAAAAATTAGTTGCTGGCAGTATCCTGATGGCACAGTGCCCTCTGGTGTTAGGAAAGGGGTACTTTCATCACATGCACATTGAGAACTAAGCAAAGATGGGAGCTTCCAGCAGATCTCAGTCCATGCTGTTATGCAAATTTTTTGTATTTACCATCCACACAAAAATGTTGACTGACAACCAGTATTATGCTTAATACCCTACATACTTTCTAAGATAGTGATTTCCAACAGCTCGGCATTGTGAAGTGGAACAAAGTTATTTAAGAGCTATGCTACAAAAAAATATTACAAATAATGGAAGATTGCACGTAATCAACTTTTTAGAAATATGAATTAGAGAAGATTCAAGATGATCTATAATAATTTCTTATTCACTCATGTAAGAACATTAGAGGAAAAAAAAAGGAAGTACAAAGGGTGTATAACAATGGAAGAAAGTTCTGCTTTGGTGTTGGTACATCTTAGAAAAAACATTCAGTTGGAACATAACCAGGTAAGAATAATCTGATTACAGTGAGAATGAGGAGGGGTGGTCTTTGGTTACAAAGAGACTCATTTTATGATTTTAGCTAATAGGGAATTTATCCCTAAGCTACATGAAGTAGAAAGGGAAATGGGAATCTCATCTGTGAGGCCAGGCCACAGGACTGTAGGAAAATTGACAATTGGGCCTCATGGGAGGCTGCAAAGACTGCAGCTTGATGAGTAATCAGAATCTGAGGTATCTGTTGTAACAGGAAGCTGTGTCTTTGAACTCTAGTAGGGCGCTTCCCTGGTGGCTCAGTTGGTAAAGAATCTGCCTGCAGTGCAGGGGATGTGGGTTCAATCTCTGGGTCGGGAAGATCCCCTGGAGGAGGAAATGGCTACCCACTCCAGTATTCTTACTGGGAAGTCCCATGGACAGAGGAGGCTGGCATCCACAAGGTCTCAAGGAGTTGGACATGACTGAGCAACTGAACTTGAGAAGAGCACTCTGCTAGTAACAAGATTCAGTTAGTCTTGTCTTTTGCTCCTCCTAGTACCAGCTGGCCAGTTTATTCCATGTGTCTTGGTTCAAATTACAAGGGAGTATGAAAGTAGTTGTCTAATGACCAGGGCACATCATTGTAAGTTACAAGCCAGCTTATGGATGGATTGGTTGTTCCTTGGTTGGCACCAGGTCAAGTGCCTCCCCTGGTCTGATCCGTAATAACTGAGGGGCTGTCATGTGGTACAGCCATCCTGCTGCAGGGATCAACTGCTTTCCCTATAGAGGGTGGGCATCTTGAGAAGGAGATGATGAGCATGACAGGTGCTAACAAGCGTTATCTCTAAGGCAAAAGTTGTTTGTGATTCAACAGTATTTTCAGTTACTGTATAGAAACTTGGGTGTTATTTCACTTAAAAATGACCGAGAGGGTTTTTTTTTTTTGTTCTGGGGTGATTTTTGTGTGTGTGTGTAGGGGTGTGTGTGTGTGTGTGTGTGTGTGTGTGGAGGTTTTTGGTAGGGAGGGGATGCAGGGGTGCTTAGCTTCTAATAACATCTAACAAAACTATTTGTTCCATGGAATGCACTTTGGAAAATGTGTCACCATTTATAAGGTGTTTATTACAACGAAAAGATTACTTACCAATCACATTTGGAGCGACATAATGCTTTTCAAATAAATCTTGATTTATGTTTTAGTGTGAAGTCCTTAGAGCCATCAGATCAATGGTCTCTACTGATATGAATTTTTTCATTCTGATTTCTTTGCAATTCATCCTAGAGATCATTTTATATCTGAAAAATATGGTTAAAATTACGAATATTGTTGAAAATGATGCCAATCATCACGCAGAATCATGGATACAAAAATGAGCTGAATGTGGCTCAGATCATGAATTCCTTATTGCCAAATTCAGACTGAAATTGAAGAAAGTAGGGAAAAGCAGGATACCATTCAGGTTTGACCTAAATCAAATCCCTTATGATTATACAGTGGAAGTGACAAGCAGATTCAAGGGATTAGATCTGATAGACAGAGTATCTGAAGAACTATGGACGGAGGTTCGTGACATTATACAGGACATAGTGATCAAGACCATCCCCAAGAGAAAGAAGTGCAAAAAGGCAAGACGGTTGTCTGAGGAGGCCTTACAATAGCTGAGAAAAGCAGAAAAACTGAAGGCAAAGGAGAAAAGGAAAGATCTGCCCATCTGAACATAGAGTTCCAAAAAATAGCAAGGAGAGATAAGAAAGCCTGCCTCAGTGATCAATGCAAAAAGAGGAAAACAAGAGAAGGGAAAGACTGGAAATCTATTCAAGAAAGTTAGATACCCAGGGAACATTTCATACACAGTTGGGCACAATAAAGGACAGAAATGGTATGGATCTAACAGAAGCAGAGATATTAAGAAGAGGTGGCAAGAATAGACATAAGAACTATATAAAAAAGATCTTCATGACCCAGATAGCTATGATGGAGTGATCACTCACCTAGAGCCAGACATCCTGGAATGTGAAGTCAAGTGGGCCTCAGAAAGCATCACTATGAACAAAGCTATTGGAGGTGATGGAATTCCAGTTGAGCTATTTCAGATCCTAAGAGATGATGCTGTGAAAGTGCTGTACTCAGTATGCCAGCAAATTTGGAAAACTCAGCAGTGACTACAGGACTGGAAAAAGTCAG